GGTTCAGTCGCACACCATCCAGAACATGCTGGTCACCGTTTCAGAACTCGTGCTTCAGTGAAGCCTCTGCTGGAATTTAGGCAGGGTCTACTGACACTTCAGGCCGTGATCTTTCTGAACACTGCATGTATCGGACTCTTGGGTTTCACCGTGAAGCCTCGTCCTGGTGTGCACAGGACTCCAGCATTAACAGCACGTTGCTCTCGGGGTTCAGGCCTGTTGCTCAGGGGTCGCTGCTCCGGTACATGGGTTGGAGCTCAGACTCTGGAGTACTCGCCTGTCACTTGTAGAAAGGATTTATTTCCTTCCCCCGACTTCCCTTCACTTCATCCATCTAAACTTGGGTGCCTGGAGAAATGCGGGGCTCGCTGGGTTGAGTCGTGTGTGGACTGAATTCTTTCCCTGGTTCGTGTCTGTGTGCGTAGACGATTCTGGCCTGTGGGTTCGCTGGGCAGCCGGAGCTCCTCAGGCAGCGCCAGGAAGGAATGGCTGTTCCCACCGAGTTTGCCATTCACCTGAAGGAGACGCAGCCGGGTTTACTGGTGGCTGCCGCTGTGGCTTTACATGAGAACAGCAAAATGGGACTGGAAGAAGCAGATGCCTTTTTCAAGGTTGGTGTGGGATCACTTTTTGCTTTTGTTTTCCTCATCGTGGTGTTGTTGCGAGTAAGCAAAGCAGCCGCGCACATTTCAGCACTTCTTCGGAAAGAGGGAGGTGAGGTTTGGATGTATTCCAGCCAGGCGCCTCCAGAGTCAGAAACTGGCCCCAGAAATACTGGTTACATCCAGCAAAGGAATAACCCTGTGACGGTCTGTGTTTTGACCCTGCTGTTTGCCTGCGGAACACCCTGATCTCCGTGGTCGCTCCGTGGCTTCCTGGGGCTACTGAAATGTAACACAGTTCAGAGAAATCGGTTCTGCTTCTTTTGGCGAAATTGTGAGGGTTGAAACCTCTGTGCCTTCTGAAGGATCAGACTTCCGTGTGAAGGTGTTCAGTGTTGTGATGTGTGTGAATGAAGAGAGGGCGTCACTGTGGGTATGAGAAGGAGGAGAAATCCAGTCGTGTTTTGGTGTCACTGGAGTTTCCTTCAGCTTGGGAACAGACAAACCTTTTTTGTTTGCCCCATATGGAGTACCACTGTTGGGTTAAAGCCGTGCATTCCTCAGCTGCGCAGCAGCTCCCGTCACGGCTTCTAGAGCCCTCATCTTCAGAGACACCTGCTTGGCTGCTGGCCTGCAGGAAAGCCTCCCCATGAGCGGTCTGAGAGGACTTGCTCACAGTGTGCTGATGTTTCTGGTGGTGCCGTGAATCTTGAAGAAATGAAACCTGTCCTTTAGAGCTGATTACCTGAAAATCGTTCCATGAACTTTCTGCTCTGCTTAGCACCGTGTTCTGTAGAATCACGGCCGTTAGAAATACATTGGGTCAAAAAAAGGAACCAAAATTCTAGTAAAAGTGAACAACTTTCCCTCCTGTCTTCTGACTTCTGCTGCCAATAACTGCCGTGCTCTGTGCTAATTTGCTGTCTTCTAACGTTTTTGTTCTCAGATGCTGTGTAGTAATAGTGAAAACACTATCCCTCAGCTCTTGGTGGATTTCTGGGAAGCTCTTCTTGTAGTGTCCTCTGAGGAGGAAGTACTTCAGGAGCTGTTACTGCGGGTTACGTCTCAGTATGTTTGGAGAATATCAAAGCAGCAGCTTCCTGAGACTAAGCCGTTGAAAACAACGGAGGATCTGGTGAGTGTTACCGCTCGGAGGAAGCTCTGTGGCTGCACTGTCCCTCCAAAACCTCCCTGTGTGCTCTTCTTAGTGTTTTAACTCAGGGCAGTTGAGCTCTTGGAAGAAGCAACCAAGGTGCTGTGCAGCAGCCAGGTGGGATGGCTGGCTCTGGGGAGTCCTGCTCTCTGGGGACATTTGCAATACACTGCCAACAGGAATCTTGGCTCTGGGCAGGATTAAGGGCTAAAGTGAAACAATGAGAGTTTTTCAGGTGGAGCATTTGCAGTTTTCCAAAGCTAACTACATGAGAAAAATAGGCAAGTGGTGAATTTGAAAGGATGTTGATGAGGAAATCTAAAATACAGAATGGAATATAAGTTTCCAGATTACTGCTAAATTATATGAGTCAGAAGAGGGAGCAGCTGCTGTTCTAAATTACACTGTGAGAGTAAAATGTTCTTCTCTTGGGGGTTTCACATGGAACTGTCACCATCGGAAATATTTCTTTTATTGCGACTTGATTCTCTCTTGTGTAGATAAACTGCTGTAATCATTTTGGGTTGATCTTCCCATGGGTAACTTCCATAATGGCAGAGGGATCTCCGTCTGATGAGGACTGCCATGAGGATATCTCAAAGCTACAGGTAGGAAACCCTTAAATCGTGGTGTTCGCAGCTCCCATGCACCGTGCCAGTGTTCGTGGTGTATGAGGCTTCTCTGGCAGGCCCCTCCTTCCACCCTGGGTTACCCAAGTGAAGGGCTGTGTTGCTAACAGTGATGTTCACAGTACAGTCCACCCTCAACTTGCTTTCTCAGTTGTAAGGAACGTTTATTGAAGGAAATACCATTGCAGAATTACTCTGCTAAGTAAGGGTTCTGGTTCCAGGTTGTGGTTAGTAATTCCTTGCAAAGTTTGTCTTAAATCCAAACAATACTTTCTTCTTGTTTCAGTCTCTTTTGTGTAGCCAGTCAGCCAGTGTAGCTGCCATGCTGCCGGTCCTGGCGCCTCTGGCAGAGGCCGGTGCAGTTGGCCTCACCGTCCGTGTTCTCTGCAGCACGCGCCTGGGCAGGTACGAGGAAGCCATTGACCAGCTCCTCGAAAGGTGCCCTGGAGCAGCCGTGTCATACGCTCAGCACCAGCTGAAAGATGAGAGTCAGGTGAGTGAGCCGCTTCCTGTAACCTTGCTCAGGGTTCTGTGGTTTGTTGGTTTGGGTTTTTTCTGAACTAAACCGCTATTGTGTACCAGTGGGCTGTGGATGGATCCCGTATCCCGCCTTTCAGACCGAGTCACTGCACAGCTTGCTTTGAGCCTCTTGCTTGGCATTCAAACTCCATAACTCAGTCCCTGCTGACGTTAATGGTGTGTTTTTTCCCAGTTTCTTCTGTGGCTTCTTGTAGTTGCCCTAGTAAATATGAGGGGTGGAGCGCCTCGGGAAAGGGATACGTTCTTTTTCCACTGTAAATATCCAGCTGGGAATTCGGAACTGTTGGCCAGTGGGGTGAAACTGTAGGGCTAAACCACCTGAGAACACGGTCATTCGGATGAAGCCCCACTTAAACATGTTCTCCCTGTGCTACAGGCACACCTCCTGGCCATCCAACAGCAGCAGGTGCACGAGTGGAACGATCATGTTCTCTCTGTCCCCTGAGGCCTCTCTACAGTCCTGAGTTTGGAACTGACTTTATTTCAGTATTCCTGGGGTACAGGAGGTTACTTCCATTGCACATGGTTTGCTGGCCGGTGTCAGCCAAGGCCGACCTCTGCCAGACGGACACGGACTAGGCCTGCGCAACACCCAACCTGTGCTTTTTATTCCAATCTGACAAGTTTCTTTGGTGGTTTCCACGTCAGTTAGAGCGCCGGGTGGGGGTTGTGATGCTGGGCAGGGGTGGGAGAAGAGTCACCACGTTTTTAAAAACAGGAAAGAAATCCTTTCCCCTCCATTCTGATTCTCAGTCCCTTCCTCTCTCCATTCTGATGGAGCAGACCAGTGCGCTGCCACAGCCCTGAGAGGTTGGTGGGGCAGGAGCGTTCCCATGGGAATGCTGCTCAGGAGGAGAAACCTTCATCTTCTGCCTGCACCAGTCTTGCTGATCATGCGACTCTTCTGATAGACACTCGTACCTGTGGCGGTATGAGAGGACATGGATTTGAGGTTTTTGAGCGTAAAAAGATCTCTCAGAAGGCTGAGGATGGAACACGTGTAAAACCAGTGTGTTTCAGAGCCGCAGATGTAGGAGCCACCAAGCTCATCATCACCTGCCCGTGGGCAGCTGAGCCTGGCTGTCTCAGCAGGACGCGTGCTCCTTATCACAGTCCTTCTGACTGGCTCTTGCTCTGGGTTTTTGTGGATTAGGCTGTGTGGTGGAACAAGCTGCTTCCTGAACTTTGCGAGAGGAGCCGAGTCGCTGGACACGCCTGCCCTGCTCTTCTTTCGTCTCTGCGAGGTAAATCAGCTGGCCGCAGCTCAGCCAGAAGCCTTTGGGCACCCTCTGACAGCCTGCGCGCTGCTCAGGGCCGGCTGACGCACCCTCGGGAAAGGAGGGGAGCCCTTCCTGCGGCTGAAGCTGATGCAGCTCCGCAGTCTCTCCAGGGATTAGCGCGGGATTCTGCAGTGCACACAAGTCACAGCATTCGTTCTGTACTGAACGCTGAAACTGCAGGGGCCGTTGTTCCTATATGGGTCAAGAATGGCCGCCCATAAACCCAAATTACTGAATAGAACTAGCAGACAGCAGTGGTGGGGGTTCTGGGCTGAGGGACTGGGTGGTGCTGAGCACCCACCGTCTGCTGTCGCTAACCCGGTGGGTGTTTGTATGTCGGTGATCAGGTCACAGGCTGAAAACCCACAGCTACTAGAGCAGAGAAACCAGCCCTGGCAGGTGATGTACTCCTCGCTACGCGGCTGTAGGAAGTCAGTGATGGAGGGGCCAGTGTCTGTTCTGACAGCCTAAGGGGATCGACTAAAGCACGTTATGTAAAAAAGCGTAATGCCCGGGGGCAGAAAGCCAGCATGGTGGGGTGGCGCTGCGCTGCTCGGGTTGCCGGGCACTGCCAGGGTTCTGGTCTCTCGCGGTCTGTGGTTTCAAACGCCAGTTTCACGCGGTAACTCCGTAGCGGCTGAAGGCAGTAACGTTCCCCAGCTTGGGCTGACCCTTGCAGAACGTCCCGCTGCAGAGAGGGAGTGAGTTAGGGCGCACTGTGTGTCTGCATTTGCTGCGCGGGCAGCGCTAGGTCAGACTGCAGTGAGGCTGGGGTCCGGGTAGTGCCGACAGGCACGGCGTCGATCTAGGGCGTAACTGCTCTTTACCCTTCACATTCCCTATGGTTGTATTTGCATGGGTGTGGCTCAAATTTCATTCCAGTTGCAGTATTTAGGTAACTCGATGACTTCAATTAGTAATTACATTGTTAATGTGTTTCTGTTTCTTTGCTCTAAACCCAAAATACCCAGCAAGTGTTTTTCCTTCCCCTGCTCTGAGCAGAAACTTTGTCAGTCGTTGCAATGGAACTGGAGCTGAGGGATTTCCTCCGGCTTCTCCCAGAGGACGGAACTGCAGCATTTTTCCTGCCACATCTTCTTCACTGCAGCCAGAAGAAGCTGCCGACCTAGAACAGCGCGAGTCTGTGGCGCACGGAGCCCAGGGTACGCTGGGGTGAATCGCAAGTTCAACAGTGGAGCTGCGTGTCAGGTACCGCTGGACTCCCCTCGCGTAAGCCACCCGCTTTCCCAGCGGAACCTGGGTGACCGTGGCTGAACGGCAGCTCCTGCTGAGGCGAAGCAGCTGCGGCGGAGCTGCTCGGCGGGACCACCCATTGCTCCCTGAGGATGAGTCCAGGGTGAAGCTGGCAGTGACCGCAGACTGCGCAGCTGGTCACACCGTGCTCGCTGAGAGCAACGCCCAGAGCCTGCCTTAACTCTCTGCTAGCAGCTTGGCTCGCTGACCCAGGGAGCTTAACCTCAGGCCGGTGTCTCACTGTAGGAGTAGAAGGAAGTGCCTTACTCCCAGATGGAATTGGGCCCCGCTTCCTGCATTTTGCAGCACAGACATTCCCATGAATCCAGCTGCCCAGACCAGTCGGCCGCACTGTCACCGTACCTGCACCCACCCGAGCGTTACACCTGGGCTGTTCCCGTTCAGCCAGTTACCAAGAAAGGCCCTAAATCAGATTGGAGGGGAAGAGTTCCCGGTCAGTGCGGAAGGTACGGAGCACTGTTTGCTTCCTGGGTTCTGTTTTCTTTCTCCTATGGCACCCGGTCACTAGACAAGTATTTGGGTATCCCTGGGTCACAAACCCAGCTGAAAACTCGCTTCGCCTAGGCGCTTTGGTGAGCATCTTGGGTGCTTGTGGGGGTGGGTGCTGAGGTTTGTCTGAGGCAGCAAACACCCTTCTGTTCCTTCAGCTGGCATTCAGCCTTCGTAAACGGTCACGGTGCTCATGACCTTCGGCACGCAGTTTATTGTTTGGAATGAAGTCTGGGTCTTTTTGAATCTCCCACAAATAAAACAGTGACTCTGTGATCCTGTGACCATCTAAAGGGCAATGAGATCAGTGTCGGCTACCACATCCCTTTTCTCTGGAGCTGTAATGTTACTAAACCTGTTGCTCGGTCCGGAGGGGTCACCAACACGGCAGACACAATGTATTCTCAACAAGAGAAAGGCAGGAAGGAGGAGTTTCCCTTGTCTGTGTGGCGCGGCATGGCGGCATGGTGTGCGTGCCTGCTGCGCGCGCAGTGTGTGTGCGTGTGTGCGCGTGCACGGGGTGATGTCTGCTGCAGCCATGCTCCCTGCTCTGTCTCACCCAGGGTGTTGCTTGTTCCTCAGAATGGTTCTGCCTTAACGAAGGCCGGAGCCACGGACATGTGCTACAGAGAAGAAACTGCCTTTTGTCTGCTGAAGCCCAAGGGTTTTGCTTTGCCTGTCCCGTACATCCCTCCCTCCTGTTGGCACAGGGCCAGCATTCCAAAGCGCCAAATTTTGTTGCCACCTGGGGTTAGTTACGAACCTAAAGAAAAAAGGGAAGTAGATTTAATTGGCTCCTCCAAGTTCCTCCACAGTGGAGTGCCACACGCTGGGCGTCATCGGGAACTCCTTTCCCTTGCCAGGTATCATTTTTATTTGGAGAAGAGGACAGCTGTAAGCTGGTACATCCCCTCGGCTGCTTTAACAAGACGCCACCTTAAAAGGTGGCCCTTCTGTTAGCCGTGGGCCACCAAACAAACTCTTCTAGACGTGGAGAAGGATTGTGCAGGAGATGGTATTTCCCACGAAGCGCTTCACTGCAAGCAGCCTGTGGGGACTGGCCGTGGTGTGAGGTTCCCCTCATGCCGTTGTCCCTGCTGCGGCGCTACACCTGGGCTGACGGAACAGCCGCGGCCACAAAGCCCACTTGTCTGTAAGAGGGAGAACAGGGTTGGCACGTGCGGGTCACCCACAGCACGGGCTGTGCGTGGGGCCAGCAGAGTCCCGATGAGCGCACGGGACCACAGGACCTGCTGGACACCAAGTTTGTTTCACAGTGGCTGTGGCCTGCCGGGGGGGCAGCTGGACCTGCGCTTGACAGGGCTGGCGGTGAGACGCGACAGTGCTGCCGCGCTGCGGGTTTGGCACGTGTGCCCTGTAAGTGGGAGTGGTGTGTAACACAGGACTCGCGTGTGTCGAAGGCCCCAGGCTGTGTTTGTGTACAGGTGCAAATGCACAGCCGTACCTACGGGCGTACGTTCCTGCTGCTCTTGCTGTCAGCTCTACCTGTGGCACCGTCCTGGGAGTACGGGAACGTGTTGCTTTTGAAACTCCATTAACTTGGGAGAAACAAGAATCTACGAGACCCTTCAAGGCTTTTCCCAGCTGCAGCAAGGCAGGAGTAGGCACAGCTGGAACCACCGCAGGGAGAAAAATGGGTCTTGTTTTTCAGCTCTAACTGCTGGGGCAGATGCCTTCAGCTTCATTTACCAGGTTTTCATGGTGGTTAAATGCGGAGTGACAGGGAGCCGGGCATGCTGGCATTTCCTGGGCACAGGAATGCTCTCGCTTGTTAGAATTCTCTTTAAATAAGCTCTGTGAGTTTAACTTTGAGGGGAAGCTGAAGCAAGTCAGTTAACAGCCGGTTGTTTACCTACTGCCACTTCCTGAGCAGCAGAGCTGGGGCAGGGGCTGCCCTGCACCATTCTGGCCTCCAGTGTTAGGCGGGGTCCTGCCCTTGGGCCACAACAA